TTTTTTTTTTTTTTTTTTTTTGAGATTCTGGGGTGTTCTAGATATCAAATTTTGGCACTGTGCTGCTAATATGCACATGCACCACATGCAGTTTGCAGCACCTCAAACCGCATGTGCACGCATATCTGGGCATGCCCCCAGGATCATTCTTTTCCTCTGGACTTAATTTGCCTCTCTGTTGCATATGTCTAATCAGCAGGAACTCTGTAAATAGAGAAATCTTTTGTCCCAGGAGCCTACAAGCATATATGTCTGTTGTCCTGCTTTCAAGAACTTGTGAAGTATGCAGGATAAAATGTGCTAATGTTCTCTCCCTCCCCCCCACCTCACCGCCCGTGGCAAATACAGCCGTATATGTATGTTACTGGAACAAACCTAGCAGGCTGTGTGCCTTTGCTGGCCACATTCTGGCAGAGGAGCAGCAATGCAGCCTGGAAAGGCTACTTGTGTAAATAGCTGTGCTGCTCCTGTTTTGATATTGGACAATCAGGACTGCCTCAAATGAGACACCAGTTTACAGCCTAGGAGTAAATGGAAACTAGTGTAAAAATGGGGGGATGCCAAAACAATAACAAAAACTTAAGTGTAGAAGGGAGAACCGGATCTATTTACAAATTGCTGAGTTCAGTAGAAAGTGCACCAGATTCTTATTTGTACTACAGACACTGTACATCACTCCGATTATGTAAAGAGGCTCTTAAGGAGGTATAAATTGAAAATTCCAAGACCCTTTTATCCTGCCGGAAAGGTGTAAAGAGCCCTTAGTGTATATTAGAATCAGACCCCCATATCTGCAATCTAGACTTCTGGAATTTAAAACCAGTCATTTCCTAAGTAAATTCTAGTGTAATCAAAACTAGTAGCAGCCTCTTAAAATTGGTTAATACCTGGATTTGGGTTTTTTTAGATGGTTTAAATGGAGTGGCATATTATTTTCTCTATAGTCTGCCTAAAAGATAGATTTGATGTCTGTAAGCAAGACATGCAATTGCTATAGGCTTCCACTCTTATAGCCTGCCACCTATTTGATTTATATGATAAGAGATCTCAGATGACCCTCCAAGGCACTGAACCATTAGAGAGTTATGTTGCACAGCGATAAGAAATCTTCAGAGATACCTAAATCTTCTTTTACCACTGGGAGTTTCATCTGTTCTGGAATAAAGAGCATTTTTATGTATGATGTTGCTATCTTGCTAGTCATACTAATATTCAAAAGGATACACAGACTTAAATCAATAGCATACTGACAAAGACCTTAAAACTGAAGTAGTCACCAAGTGCATGTTAGACAGCTCTTTTAGTTTTATTTGTTTCTTTCTTTTCTGTTGCTTGAAGGTTGAATGGCTATCACAGTTCAAACTGGAGTTTTCCAGTTTTCCGTTAATCCTTTGACCAAGTAGGAAGCTGGCAAAAGCACTCTCTAGTCTGCCAAAAGCCATAAAGGCTCTGCCAGCTAATGAGAAACTTTCTTATTTTAGCCTTTGTGAAATCATGGATTGCATCCTTTCTTAGTCTATCCTAGATGCTACTTTCAGAGTTGATTTAATGACATGACTTCTTGTCTACTAGGAACAAACATAAGTGCCACTTCTTTGCCCAGGATTCAAATGGTTTTAGTCTGAGATCAGAAAGGGTTGATCCAAGTTAATTCCTGGGAATCTTTTTTCAGGAGAAAGTGCATACTGATTACTGGTATTTGGATATCGCCTACTGTGTCAGCATCTAACTTAGTACAGTATTTGCTTTAAAATAATCTATGCTGAGTCTTGTGGCAAGGATGTACTTCAGATACCAGGTTGTTTTGTACGAGGTGTGTGCTACATTAAGTAGAGGACATCAAATAACAGGAGCGGTGTGTTCATCTCCTGTACTTGAGCACACAGGAAGAAGAAGGTGTGAGGTTCAACCCCTACTTCCAGACATGAGCCAAATGCAAAGGGAGCCCTTGCACTTCCAGTGCACAAGAACGCAGGACCAATGTGGTTGTCACCAATATGCTCTGAAAGGGGGGCAAAAAGAATATGGGACATTTTGGACTTTGGGGGTGGTTGACCATTGAGGAAAGCTCATATTCTAGTCTCTTAAAATGTGCCCTGGTGGTGGTTCTCTTTGGTGGTTCTCGGTGACCATTATGTTTTGCAAGCTGCACTAGGATAATGCAGCTTCACACCTCTCACAACACAGGACTGTACCTGGTGTCCTGCATAAGCAGCCTTCACTCTTGTGGGCCTGCCAGTGAATGACCAGAGTAAAATCCAAGGCATCTTTGCAAGGGCAGGCAGGGGGGAGCACTTTAATTGGGAGTCATTCCAAGTGCCCACAGCGTCTCATGTATTCAGCATCCCTCACTTAAATGTGGCGGCAAGCATGCTTTAAGTAAATTTGTCGAATGAGCTTTAGTTAAAGCACCCCCAATGCCATTTTGAAGTGGGGATTAAACAAGTCTGCTCTGTCACATGCTAGGTAGCACATGTTGGAGCAGACATTGGGCATGTGTGTAGGAGGGAGGGAGGAAGGAAGGAAGACAGACAGACAGACTCCTCTGTTCTCTCGATCCTGAAATAGCTTTGACTTCTTTCAAATTGGGACTGCTCAGTACATATCATAGCCTACAAGCTGGTCTTTCAATAACAAAACTGGGTTTTTTGATGATCTTAACCATTTGCCTAGGTGGTGTTTCACTGTTTGTGTGCCTGTCTGCTTGCTCCCTTGTTCAGAACGTTGGGGCGATCAGGGGACTGGTGCAACAAAAAGTAAGCTCCAATTAGACTATAAACTATGGCAGCATTACATTAATGTTTATGACTTTCTGCATATATTCATTGAAAACACTCTTGTGAGGAAGTATTTCTCTTTAAGATAAAATTAATGCAAGAGAGAGATGAATAGTCCCCACATGCTACTTGGCTTTTTGCTCAAAGATGTTTTATGAGAAACAGCTCTTGGCAAATTTAAATGATTCTCCTCTTTCTTAAGCTGGCAAATGCTGTCAATGCCGGTCTTCTTACACCTACATAAATCTATAAAGTTGGCATCCCAGATACACAAGGCAACAATAAAATTGTGCAGGGGACAGCACAAGGGTGCTGTAATCACAGCTGTTTCATGTCAGCATTCAGAAAGCTTACAGCAGGATTATTCTACAAAGCTGTTTCCTTTAAATATCATTAGAGATATTTGCGAGGAGAGACTGGTCTCAGCTAATTATATTTAATTTTTGGAAAATAAACTTTAAATAGAGTTGGGGGATGCGTAACAGAGGGAAACAACCAAATAGGGTTCATTTAAAGTAAATTTTGTAGGATCTCATTTGACTGCTTTCATTTAAGAATTAAAGCTGTTGCCTCCAGGCTACAATTGCACAAAGCAAAATAAATTGTTGCATGTCTGTGTAAGTCCACATCTTGACTTCAGATGCACATGTTGATATAGGCCCACAAATTATCTCACAACAAGGTATGCAAATTGATCATGTGTTGCAAAGGGGCAAATCTGTGGCCACACTGATACTCCATTCCTCCTGCATGTAGCAATGGGGAATGACATCAAATGTAGCTGAAATCTGCTCTTTTGTCTCTTAAGTTATTAGGAACAACGCTCCCTGATGAGGAAACACCAAGTGATTCCTGAAGAGCTGGCCAGCACAACCAAAACAGAGTTGTTTTCAGATCAGAGACTAAGACAAAAAGTTTCTTCATTCTGCAGGGAATTAAGACAGGGGCACAACTTGGCACTGCCAACTGCTCTTTTCTTCTATGCAGCAAATAGAGGGATAGCAAGAGAGAGTAATTAGATGTAAGATAAAGCACCCACAATGGGACGTACAAGTACTTAACACCTTCCAGAAGACTCTTTGCTCCCTCCCTGTGATTGGCTATGGATTACAATGAGATGAGTCCCCCAGAAATCTGAATGCAGCATTTTGGAGTGTTTTTTTTTCTTTTACCTAGAAGTGGGGATGAGAGTGTTGAAAACACTTATATGTAATTAAGTTGAATTCAGTTACAATAAACTCTCCATTACTCAAATCATTTGCCACTGGTACAACAATATATTAGAGGTAGACAAAAGGACACACACATACAAGTAAAACATAAAGACAAAGACTAAGGGAAAAATGGTTATATAGCACTTGGCACCATTGGATTCTGGGTCATCACAACACTAATAACAGAAAACAGTAATATTTCTACCTGTGTGACTGTTGATCCTCCAGCCTCTTCTTCCTTCTTCTGTGGTGCTTCCATGTAGACTGCACTGCCATAGTCAAAAGGAGGCCTTCGGCGTACACACGTTCTAAACTCAGCAGAGCTCTTTTAACATGGTGAAATACTTTACAGAGTAGTAGTCTCTTCCCCCCCCCCATTTACGTTCAGGATTGTTGTCGGGTATTCAAAAAACATAAATGAAGCCAAACAATATAACAATATCATGAAACTTAAAAAAATAATACTGGTAGTAATTGTTTGCTTACTTTCATTTATCTTCCATTTTCTAGGTATAGGGTAGAGCAAGATCACATTTTTCAAACTCCTCTGAAACAATACTGGCTAGCAAATTATTTTAAAACAAATCAAAGTGGAAGTAATCCCCATGTCCAAACTCTAGTGCCCTTCTAGAATTTCCTGTTGCATCCTGAAGGTTTGGAGGGACATGTAAACTTCTACAAAGCCTATAGAGACAGACAAGCATTTTCTTTTAATTTCCTGATCCTTTTATCTGGGCCCTGACATTGCCACTATTACAAAGTACCTGTGGGCCTCCTAGTAGCACCCCAGGCCAGGTCAGCCCTGCTTGGGTTCCTTGGACAATGAGATAAGAAG